AACGTATTTTCAATTTTTCACTGTTTTTCTCTGGAGTTAGAATTTGAAATTATCTCATGGAATGACTGCAATTTATGAATGTAGTTTCCGCAAACTGAGGCTATATGAAGCTAAGAGAGCACCCGATGGTCCAGTAGAACTATCGTCATTAATGCTTGAATAAAAATTAGCAATTCTAAGGACAACGCATTCGAAACAACAAACAAGATTCAAATTTTTTAATATTCATTACAAGCATTTTGTTTCTAATTTTTGGCAAAATTTACCTTTTAAAGTTAAATAATATTTCAAGTTATTTTTCTTCTTTTAGAAATGACAAACATCTAACGCTTGTACGCAATTCAATTTCATTGGTTTCAATAAAATTGTCGTGCAAATTTTGAAGAAAAACCCACTACACAATTTCTTCAATACCTTATATAAATAATGTGAAATGTGCGTCGTGATGTACGGATTACATAAGAATCATTTAACAGTTTTTGACGTGCTCACTTGAAATGAAAGTAGATATGCCATATATGAATCGTAATTCATGAAATCGAAATAAAACTGTCCTCGCAGAAAACCTATTTTAACATATAGTGAGACTTCTTTTCCTACTGACAGATAGGAGAAAGCGTAGTAATGACAGTTTCGTGGGTTAACCGGAATTGAAAAAATATATGTTTAAGACTTATTAGCGAAATTAATGAAATATCGAAGTAGAAATTTCGGCAATTAAACAGTGGGAGAGCATGAGTTGAAGTAGTCATTCTCAGATAAAGTTCGTAAAAACGTGTGTAATTAGATTTTTCATTCTATTTGTTTTTGTAAGGAAGATGTTTGTTGCAAATTAAAAATTTTACATATATTTTTCTTTACGCAGGGTTTTATGTACACAGACAATCTACATTAGTTGCATTCTCCCCTTATGCTAACTTACATTTTACCCTTAATTTTTCGTAATCGACTCAAATTGTTCGTAATGTGTTCCTACAATTATTTTTGTAGACTTCGAAATGCAGATTTTACCTATGTATGAAATTCATCCCGTACAAAATTGTACTTTAGAGAAGAAGCGAATTCAAATTTCCAAAAGATCATATATGACAAGATATTAAATTCATTACACTGCCATTTTAAAAATTGGTAACTAAATTGTCTTACAACAAATCGTTGGCACCTGGCGTAAAAGTTATTTTAAATACATTTTAAGCCCCTAAAAATTGTATTATAATTCAACAGAAAGTAAATTAAATTTTAAAATAATTAAATGAAACCTATTAAACTAAAAAATAAGAATATAAAAAACGCTATTATAAATTCATATTTTGTTGTAAGACTTCACAATTTGTTGTGGATTCTTACAATACAGAATACAAGACATTTGTAATTGGGTACTTATTTTACGTCATGCATAAAATTCCCTAATAACGCGTTCATTTGACAGCCCGAAATGGTCGCCACATTTCCATTTACTACGCCCTTTGCTGGATACGCTCAGTTACCATAAGAGCCCAAGGGACAAAAAAATCAAAAGGATAAAAAAAAACTTTTTGGGGCCTCCGAGTACCATCAAATATGAGTACGCAATCACTCCGATGACAGAGCCTCTCCGGGAATTTGATGACCTTCCTGGGATGCGACGGCGCGCGGCTCCAACCCCGATGTTTACGAAGCCTGAAATTTCCATGATCCGCGTCGTTGGGGATTCTCTGCGCAGACGACCCGACGCTCCTCGGTTCATAATTCATCGCCTGCGCGATGGCGGCGGCTGCTGCTGACGCACTGTGGTCTTCGTTATGAGGAGCGCTACGGCAACGAGCTTTTAATACTAGAAAATGATGCATGTGGTTGATGTGTATAAATATAGCCGCTTCAGGTTATTTTCATTCTCTTCGATGTTCTTGTTATACAGAGAGTTCCTTTCTTAGCTATTGTCAACTAAAAACAAATTTTTAAAAAATACAAAGGTACGAAACTAGAGCTTTTTACCAGTTGATAGTTTAGCATCTAATATAAATCATTTACATGCCAAAACGTTGTTTCCCAATAACCTATTAACCCCTAGTTCTACCGACACTAGCAGTTCTGCAAATCAATTTTTGCGGAGTCATTCGACTCGGCTCGAAGGTCAGGGTTACGACTCCTCTCGCTGTCTGGCCAGTCAACCGCATCGAAATTAAAAACAGTATGCCTTCATTTATAAATATGTCTGTTTTAAACAGACTGACAAATGATGAATAATTATTTTCAATCACCTATGAATGTTAGATTTTTTTCAAATAACAAATTAAATAATTTTATTTTTCTATTTGTTTTGAATTGTCCTATTTTTACTCCTTTCCTACATCAATATGTCCTTTACTCAGAAGTTTTACTATCAAATTGTTAAAACGGACTCATTGAAGTCTTTTGCACTCTATTTAATGTTTATAAACGTACAAACTAGTAAGAAATTAGCGCTGACCACCTAGTTCCAAACCAAAAATAGGACATGTTACTTCTGGACAAGAATAATAATTATTTAATACTCATTGCTAATTTCCTTGTTTTTAACTTTAAGCTAACACTTAAGTGAAGGCAAAACATACCACTGACAAAAAAGTAAATAAAGCGTAAGTGAAAAGTGAATGAAGTTGGAGTTACCCTGCTTAGTATTTCAGTATTGAGGTTGTGCTGTAATATTTGACAATATTAACGAATGTGTCACTGAACCGAAGGCTGTATATCGAAATGTAGAATGGGGTATAGTTGTCACCTGCAAAATATATTACGAAGTATTTTACGTACGGTTTAGCGCATGCCTATATGGACATGCGCCACATTCCCTCTTTCGGAAAATGTTTATATTTAAACGATGGAAGAGAACAGTGTAAATTAATAAGTGATCCAACCAGAACAGGAACACTACAGAAAATTGTAAAACAGGAAAAATGTCAAAACATATTAGAATCATTTTAATCATCATTTTCTTAGTATTCTACATTTAGACGAGTTAGTCGTACGATGAGAGTACACCGTTTCTGTCTCAAATCTTTTGTTCATTTTCTGTATGATACCGGCAGGTAATGAATAAATAATAATAATAATAATAATAATAATAATAATAATAATAATAATAATAATAATAATATATGTTTACCCACTTGGGTGACAGTTGTACTAGATTCAACCCTTGCGACCTATACGTTTCCAGTTTCACAATACCTAGTGAACTACATATTCATTCAATTGTTACTATTCAACACTTCGGTCAAACACTATGGAGTCTACTTTGATTGCCACCTTACCCGGAAACCACACACCTAAAGTAGACGTCCCATCGCCACACAACAAACTCACCAACTCTTTCCAATTTTACGTTGATCTGCTCCCCTCCACGTCGTTACCGGTTCACCACTATGATTCGATGCATGGGATCAGACCCAGACCTTCGAACATCGTTACCTAAAGATCATTACTACAGCACTCTGATTCATACTCAAAGATTTTCTACTCGATATACATTTCTCACATTAACAATTCGCCCGAAAGTTTTATCACAAAATTCCCTCATTTCCACAGGTTCTCCACTTGTGACTAAGGAAACTACCCCAAAAAAGATACATATGCACAGAAAACTACCCATATTTGTTTTATCCACCGTAACTCTCACGTCTCTTTCCTGAAAATAATTCTCAGTCAGTGATTTTCCTATAAAAACTGTTCCGGAACTCTGTTGACGTATCCGTTAAAATCAAACTTCTTGCAAAAAGGTAGTACATAAGTAAGATAAATAAATTAAAAAGACCTCTTTGTGACCCCATAGCTACTGAGCATGTCGTTGCTATAAATGAAATTTTGACTTAAGAAATGACTGCTCCAATTGGGAAGACTTACTCTATCCCTTGATGATTATGATGATGATGATAATAATAATAATAATAATAATAATAATAATAATAACAACAACAACAACGCCAATTCGTGGCCAATATCGCTGAGGCAGTAGTGTCGTAGTGGTGTCGGACCAGATCGCGGGTTCGAGAGCCACCTCGGGCACGGTTGTGTTGTGTGCGTCTCTGTATGTTTGGGTGTGTCTATTTCATCATTCATTATCATCATCATCATCATTTCATCCTATTCTCCAGGACTAGCAACTCTGGGGTATAAAAACGAAAACAGCATTGCAACGCTGATTCCTCCCACCCATAGAAAACTAAGATGCACCTACCCTGATTATGAGCCCCGATGGAATGCACGCACATGGTATCACGTGGTTCAATGAAGGCTGATTCGTGAAACAAAATAATAATAATAACAATGTTTATGGAGAAAAGTCTGTTTTGTTGTATATGGACGTGAGATGCTAGAGCTATCTTGTGGGAAAAGTAACACTGTACTTACTTTTAAATAATTATTCCATTTTCTTTTTAATGGATTTTTGTTTTGCCAATCCCCGAAATTTAGATTCCAAATTACATTAACATAGTTAATTTAAGTAAGTACTATTCCTGACTAGTTTGTTTTTGGAATGCGTAAACTCAGCCTGTATGAGTTGAACAGATACTCAAAGAGGCCTCTTGGGACCTTAGAATAATAAAAGGTTTATTGCATCTCAGTGTCAGGCTAGTAGTTTTGTATAATGGTATAGTATGGTGCCACGACAGCGACGAAACTAACAAAGAGAAAAGTATAAATGTCGTTGCGTCGCAACACCATCTCGAAATTTTTGAGGGGGCCGGCGGTGGCGTCGGAGAAGGAAAATTTCAAACAGGAAAATGTAAAATCTCAAGAGTGTTATGCACCTGTGAGCAAAATTGTGTGTGTACGGCAGTGAGACGCTGGAATCAAGTTTCTTGTGACTGGGATAATTCCTGGTACACATTTTTTCATTAAAATTGTGTTGGTTCTAGCTGCCATCAAAATGATTTTTACCTCCAACAATACTTTGAGTCTAAAGTTTAGACACGAACAGAATCTGGACTAGAAAAAGGAAAGGTTTCCTGGTAAGGAATGTTTTGTGAAAAACCATAAAAATGGCAAACATGGATCCTTATTTTGCTGGGCACATAGAGAACCTCGTCCATTACTACGAAGACTTCATGGAAAATTCGGGGGATCCTCGGATGAAAAACTTGCCCCTAATGGACAACCCCTTACCTACTTTGTTTATCTGCCTCGTGTACATGCATTTTTGTAAAGCTATTGGCCCTAGATTGATGAGACACCGCAAACCATTGGAACTACGTTATTTTAGTGTGTTATACTACTTCGCACAAATGGCTCTTAATGGATGGATATTCAACGAGTACCTGCAGACTGTTTTGCTGGGAATAAATAACTCACAGTGTCAACCTTTGGACTGCAGCAATGGACCGATGGCCGAACGCATGGCAAACACATGTTGGTGGTACTTCATATCCAAGTTCATGGAGATGTTTGACACAGTGATTTTCCTCATAACGAAGAAAAACTACCCCGTGACTGACATGCACATCGTTCATCACAGTCTGATGCCCATCAGCGTTTGGGCTGGCCTCAAATTTGCCCCTGGAAATCACAGTACCTTGTTCGCGCTCGTCAATACTTTTGTGCACGTGGTCATGTACCTTTATTACATGCTAACTGCCATCGGACCTAAGAGCAAGTACCTTCAATCGGGAAGAAAGTATCTCACAGGTTTACAGATACTTCAATTCCTCATTGTTTTGGGACACCAGTTCCAATTCGCATTTACCGAATGCACTTATTCCAAAGGTTTCGTGCTCTGGATTGCACTTCATGGCCTGTTTGTCTTCTTGCTATTTGCTGACTTCTACAACAAGAAGTACGAGTCTGGCATGAAGAGAATACCTAGTCAACCCAAAGTACCTGACTCGCCAGCCAAGAATGAAGCGGTGGCTGAAGGCGAGCAGGAAAAGAGACAGGTTCCGATCCCTATGGAGAGGACTTTTCGCATTTGGGACAGAGAAGAAACGGAGAATACAGACACAACAGACGGCCAGAGACCCTTTACACTGACGGAAGAACTTTCTACTCAGGACAAAGGAGAGTGACAGAAATTAGCTGCACAATCGTTAATCATATTGAGCGTTTTCGTGAAGAAGTAAATGATCCTAAAAACATATTCTAGACAATGAAATAACTTATGCTAATTAAATATTGTAGATTAATAAAGTACATAAAGATGACCATCCGTTTTTCGCATTTCATTCAGTTGTTTTTACACCTCTGACTTGATTTGTCGGGCTTAACGTAGGCTAGGCTTACATTTCAAAATATTTTCTCTTGGGTAAACAATATTAATTGTTGGTTTTTAATATAAATTTAGTTGTTTTTTGATTCCTATCTTAATGAAAGTGTGTACACGAGACCTTCAAAACAATTGTAAAAATATTACTGTCTACATGAGATTTCAAAAAAATACCCTAGACTTCTATGTTCTAAAGGATAGCGGAAATTTCAGTGTGCACGCTTTCAGTTTTTCAATAATATTTTGAAAACGTTTAGCAAATTGACCAGTTAATTTAAATTTTATTAAGGCTGACAAAATTTTCTAAAAAAACATTATTTTGATTCTTTTCGATTCGGCAATTAAGCTTTCAGTTACTGGAAATCAAATTGATAGTGCATGTTTGCTGGGAATATATATGTGTTTGCAGCGAAACACACCAACGATGGTGGTAGAAACTATAATCGCAGCAAACATGCCATAGCGGAGCAGGACGGGCAGGTGACGCAAAGGAAGACAGGGGGGACAAGGTGTAGAGGGGCAGGTTGGTACTGGGAAGGTGGGACGGTGCAGAGTGAGACCGGATGTAACGGGTGCTGGAGAGGGTGGCGTAGGCAGGGTAATGCGGGAAAACACTGTAGAGGAATGGACGTATTTTCCTCTTATAGACGATTGTAATTAATAAATACCCAGGAAACACCGGCTACTTCAACAACCAATTAAATATTTTTAATTAGTACTAGCACTAAGCCCCAAGCATGACTCCTCCAACCGTTTCTCTCTGTAAATTCTCTCGTATTACAAATCCATTCACATGGACGCGAATTCGTCGACATTTCTTGTCGACACACCTCCAAACTTCGTCGGCCTCTTCAAAAGGTACGCGAGCAAGCGCAGTCATTCCACGAACCCCCCCCACCACCACCACCACCCCCGCCCAGCTCGACACCGCCTTCCGCCGAAGCCCCGCGACTGTGTCGTATCGAGCGCCAACTAAGCCGAACGCTCTCCTCTGAAAAAAAAACTTTCCTCGCCTCGCGCTCGCAATCCAATTGACAGCGGCGGCTGCGTGGCGCGCGCGTAATCAGGTGTAAGCGGCTTGCTCCGGCACCGCGACGGAAATAGCTGCCGCGCCGCGCCGCGCTGCCCTTCGGCTGGGGCGGGGGCGGCGGTGGAAATGAAGGGTGGCAGGATCCAGCGGTAGGAGGTGGCGATGGTGAATGTGATGAGGGGGGAGACATGATAAATGTGGGTGTGGTGGTGTTTTTTTTTTTCAGAAATCTGTGTCACTCAGAGCTGAAAAAATAGGCTTTATAATATTGCCAACTGCTCTAGGAAATGAAATATTATGGAAACATTATTTTTAGTAACTATTGTCTTATTAAAGTTACACTTTTTTTTCTTATTTAAGGTTGCTTTTCAACTACTAAGGTCATATAGCGGTCGCTGTGAGTAAGATTAGAGGTAACGGTAACGGTGCGGACACATACAAACATCCATGCTCGGGGCGAGATACGAACCCGCAACCCTTCAGGCATGAGGCAGATAGGTCTTCAGCCGTAGTGACCTCGGCTACTAGACTGGTACCGTTGTACCGTGTCAACATGTATTAGGATGTTTATAGTTCTCTGCGATGCCTTTAATGGGTATTTGATAAAAATGGGGCGTGTCCCATGAAGCGTCATGATATTTAAATATTCATGAAATACACCAGAGCCTAAGATGAAAAATGTCTTTTGCATTACATCACAGGGATTCCAAGATACACAAAACAAGGGAAGATAAAAATTCAATTTTTTCACCCAACTACTCTCCTTAATAGAAACTGAGGGCGCAATGGTGATTTCACTGACAGATGGCGCCGATGATCATTGTAGTGGTGGTGGTGGTGACGGTGATGGTGGCTAAGAGGTGCTGTTGGTAGTAGCTCTGGAGGAGGCATGGCAGAGACAGCGAGACAGCGGAGGCGGTGCCGAAATGGGCCGTTGCCTTGGTAACAGATGCGGCTTTGCCGTTGCCGCTGCCACGCAAATACTCGCAGAAATTTTCCTGCGTATACAGTAACGAAATACGTTAGTGGACGCTGAAATTGGTGAATGAAAAGCGGCTTGTTCCACTTGAAATGTTTACGAATCTTGCGTGATAATTTAAGGTAAAATTGAAAGGTAAAATTCATATTGCCAAATTAGAAGTATCAGATTGTTTTTTAAGAGTATTCAGTTCTGATCCTGGAATATTGAAAACAATGTTCTTCTTTGATGTTATGGCAACGTTCATTTTTTTGCAATTAATGTAGCGTGTGGGAAGAAACAGTTAAATAAACAGTATGAGTAACCTGAATAAATAGCATTAAACAATATTTTCCTGAATACAGATACCTGTAATTGTTGAGTACATAGATCAGTATTTTCAACAGCAGTGAGTGTCATTAGATGACAGCAATTGTTCATGTCTGGACAGTTTCAATGATCACTTTTTTGAGGACGTTGAATCTTACTGGTTTATAAAAATTTCGCTTGAGAAAAAAATATTTTAAAAGTGGGTATACGAGGAGTTCATAATTAAAAGTAATTATTTGGATGTATTGCTGGAAACCGACTACGATACAATAAGCATAACTAACGCTTTCCTAGGCTAACCAACGTCGTACATTTTAGGCACAAGGCTCCCCGAATCTTCGACACCAATGGGCGAATATTCAACACCAAATAAACGGCAGGGTTGAAGCCGACCGTTGGTGCTGTCCATGGCTTCTTCCCATTTATTGCTGGCTATTTCAGGAGCAGAATGTGCTTTAAAACAACTGGTAGATGACAGCGTACGATCCATTCTACGCCAGTCTGCCTCTCTCCCATCGGCAGAACCAAACAATGAGCTGGCACCCACTCTCATATGGCTTATTCATCGATGAAAATTGCTCACAAACTACGGACATCTCGAGAAAATGAACAACCCACCGTATCCCCTAGACAAAATGGTGTGTTATGTGAAGTAAAGCATAGATATAGCTCGAAAGCTATACAAACTTGTAATTGAGGAGGCAAAGATTGTTCGGAATTGTAATTATGTACGTCATGGTGAAAATAAGTGTTATTTAATTAATGCAAACGAAGAGTTCTCATATTTCTAAGTTCTGGAAATTGTTTTATGAATTGAAAATTGGCATTATTGTTTATGGGGATGAATTTAAAAGATTACAGAGGCAATAGTAAACTTAATGAACCACATAAAACACATGTATTTTTGAATTTATAAATTTGACACGTCTTATGAAAACGTAATAAACACGATTCTAGTGAGAGAGGAGAGTGTCATTTCTAAAAGTTGAATTTTGAGCTGAATTTTGAGCTTTCGTTGATTAATGAATGCTTATTTACAAATAAATCAGATCAACTATAAATTTTGCATAAAGTGAATTAGAAATTAACCGCTTTACGTACAGTAATTTCATAAATACTTTATTTTATTTTATAATGTGAAATTAAACAAATTACCCGAATGCTTGAAACCAAACGTTATGTATTCTAGTGAAGGATGGTATTTTGCAAGGCTATTTTTACAGTTTTATTGTTCTCCACAATTCATTATTAGAAGTTGCAAGCGCCCAATTGAAGAATGAATGCATGGCACAAAGAATCCAAATCGCACAGAAACGAACCGAGTGCTTGTGCACAAAGAAAGGTCACGCCGGTCATTCGTCTAGACGGCCTCCCTCGGCTCAGCACAAATATAACCCGCAGCGAAAGCAACTCCGCAAACGGAGGGCGTCTGCGAAGGGGCTGCGGAGGAGGCGGCGGAGCGCCATCACAAAACAGGTCGATTCCTTGGGGCAGAAGAACAATTCGGTTGATTAATTGTTAGGGTTTCCGGGCGAGTCAACTACTAAGGTCATTGATACCGTAAGTGTAGTGCTTGTATTTCCTCGGGAGGTGATTGTGATCTTCCCTCGCTCTACGGCGAGATTCGGCGCCGACCTACCGTCGGCTAGCGACGTTTCTCCCAACCGGGTATATACCCAAGCACAAGGCACCGCCCCAGTAGGGTCAAGCACTAAACTCACAACCGGTCTCGTGATACGCTTTTCAGGCTTAGGACGTACAGGTACTGATTCCAGCCTGTCGACGTACAAGTACGCCGACAGGCTGGAATCAGGATCCCGTCAGCACACAGTTTACTTAACCGCAACCGCCCCATTCAATGCCTGGGTCGAGCTGCTCTGCTTGCTCAGAATTCCTAGCTATCCAGACTAGTACCGGAATCGAGAGTACTCACATGCGCCAGGGCAAGTCTCTCCTCAATGCCCAGAGTGTCGGGCCACTGCCACGACGAAGTGAGTACCTGCGGAATCTAACCAACCCCTAGAGGGATGTTCGTGTTCTTCACCTTGAATTTTCTAAGTGGGTTTGCGGAATGCTGCCAAGCTGCACAGAGGATGCCGTTTGACAGTTGAATGATTGATTGATTAGTAATTCCAGGCGCATCAGCAGATAAAGTCATTAGTCCCGTAATTGTAAGGCGGGATTTTTATCGCGGGCGGTGGCGGTGATTTTCTGTCGCTGGATGGCGAGGTCCTGAACTCTTCTAAAAGTTGAGTGGCAGTTTTTTTTTCTCATCCAGGTAGTGCGTGTAAGTGTATATGTAAGTAAGGAGTGAGGATAGGACAAGGAAGAGGAAAGAAAGATCAAGCGCGGTCCGTGGCCCGTTTTGTTAGGTGAGTGATCCGGCATTCGTCTGGTATTGAGCGGAGAAACCACAGAAAATTACCGACCAGATCAGCCGGCCGATGGAATTCTCCTCCAGACACCGCCTCAATTCGACCTAGGT